CATCACACATCGGATCTCTCACTTTTTCATGAGCGTTCGGCCTTTCTAGTTATCATAGCACCACCGGTCAGCAGCCCTGCTGTTTATTTCCAGCGTATCGATTGAGATGCGTTCCGCTTTTTGCACTTATGCTTGCAATAAGTGAGGAGTGGCTGGAAATGATACTCAGCCTTGCTGACTTTTCCTTTTTCTGTGAATCTCCACCAACTATAGTCTTACTTTTCTTCAAGCAAAAAAATTTCATTCCACTCATAGTTTGTAAGATATTCTCTCTTCATTTTAACCCACTATGGTATAGAAAGTTTTGAAAGACGACAAAAGCTATAACCACTATTTTCGAAGATGCAATCCAGACTGCTCGTTTCGCTCTAATCGCAGTGTCAGCTCAGAACTTGAATATCTGACAGTTCGAAACAAGTTCATATTACACTTTTACAGTAAAGTACAGAATGTTACCACATCACACTTCTAACCTTCTTCTCATCGTTGCCTTTCTTCTTTGAGTGCATGACTATCTTCTTCTCACTAATATTATTCGCAAAAACAGGGGGTTTTTCAGTAAAATTATCTTTTTTCAAGAATATCATAAATTTTCTGAATTGAGTGACAAACGTCAATCAACTTGATTATGCCCGATATTTGGTAAAAACATATGATTTTCTACTAAATTACGTAGCGATTATTAAGCGACGCTTGCCTAGTCGCAATAAAAGATGAGCATGATTTATCTCCTTCTTTCACTATTACTCCCCCATTCCCCTCAATTCCTGTCACCATAGCTTGTTTTTCTTGAATTTTGTAAAAATTAATGCTGAGACCAGCGCAATTCGTAGCCAAGAAGGAAAGGATCGTACTGAGAGGTAATAAAAAGGCATTGCATTACGCTCTACCTTCCTTAACTGCATAAAATCTCTTACCTTGTTTGCGTGTTGTTCTCTTAGTTACCCTATATCGCACATCCATATAGAGATGCATGTGTTGTTAAGTCTGTTTTTGCAAAAATATCAATTTCTACACTTATCATCTTATTAAGCAGATTACTTCCAATCTACTTTAAATGTCCGAATCAAAAGGAAAGGTGGCAATTGTTGGGAGGTGAGTAGTTGAGTTCGCAGATGAAATGAGAAATTTCAAGGATATCGGAATTTAGTGGACTGATTGGAACATGTTGGGCTACGCTTTTCGTCAGTGCCGGCTATTCTGTCTCCCTCTATGATATCTCCTCAAATCAGCTAGAAACTGCCAAGCAAACAGTGCTGAAAAATCTTCAAAAATTAAAGGTAAACAAAGTTTTGACTTATTCTGTGGGCTATGCTTTCACAAACTTATCTGAAGCTATGTAATTTGTGGAGAGTTCTTGTCCCAGTACTATGCATGATGGTTATGTGATAGATGGTAACTATCATTTAGAACACTGCTAATCCTTAATATTTTCTATAGTCATTATCTCATTGTTTCCTCAGAGCTGTCCCAAAAGTCATAATGACCTAGAGATATCTTGTAGTTTAATGTGTGAATATAGAACAAGATTCTATGATAAAGGTCCACAAAGTAGCTACAGTACCTTAAAGGTAAGAAAATGGTGTGGTATTTTTGAGTGCATGCCAGTTTACCTCGAAAGCATTTTGCATAGGCTCATCTTAGCGTTTACTACGCCTTTCAAATAATTTTAAAAAGAACTTTTAAGATTTATTGATCATTTATTTAGTGGTAGGTGTTTCAAAAAACGAAAAATTGTTTTGGCCTCCTAAAACTCACAATTTTGCAGCAACTTTTGTTTGAAGTAAAAAGCTACAGTGATCAAATCAACAAACTCAGACTTGTTCCTTGTCCCAACTTCCTATTCTCACCGATTTGCGCACAATGAATAGCACATGAGCATCGAACCACGCAAATCACAGCTTGAACTACACATAAGTATCCTACTGGAGCTATAGTGCTATTGAAACAGTAAATTCACAATAAGTCTATTTCTTAAATTATGAATTTAATAAAATTCCAAACAATGGTGAATTTTAAAAGTTTATTTCTTATTTTTTTCATTTTAGAAATTTCTCTTATTCAAAAAGCGTCATTTCTAGAGCGAAGGCCTCTCTCGAGGTACGACAACACTTGAAGAAGCGCCATCGAGGATAAGTACGACAATGAAACTAAGTG